CGTTGTAACTCGATCGTAACGCCTCCACATCATCGGGCCCCCGGCCATTACAGAAGATGAGCTTGCCGAACGGAAATGTCTTCGAGCTCGTTTCTTGGTTCTACAAGAATTTCCGTTGGAAGCTTTTCGCACTCGTCTGCGTGCTCAACGAGGTGGCTCTCGTGTACCCGCAATGCGGACGATACCTGTAGTGCTCGCTTATGGCAAAAGCGCTACAGGTGACGAAGCCCTCTTTGAGCGACGGGTGCGCACCCCTCACTGTATGCCATATGGTTGAGCTTCAAGGAAGTGAATGTGCGTATGTGAGGCCACCTCCGATCTGAATTTGCCAAACTCAAAGCACGCCGTTTCCGTCTTGTAACGTATGGATCAACCCCTAACGCTCCCGCGAGCCATGTATCTGCGACCGCAAGAGCTCAGGATCACCGCTTGAGCTTAGCTCATGGCCCTTCTACTTCCCTGGTTACTGCCGAGAAGCGCGGGACGTCCTGATCGTTCTGATCAAAAGCGTCCACGGTGTCTGGGCAATCTTGCCGAAGTGGCGTCTCAAGCTCCAACCAGTTTTCGGAGTCGAGATATCCCCGCCACTTCACCAGATAGTGGATCTGACTCTGGGGACGACGTCGTCTCGCTAGAAATTCCACGTGATAGTGGACGTCAACGTTCTCATCGAGAAGAGTCGGTGGTGGACGGTGACGACCGGGCCGACCGGGCCGACCGCCGTCCGGTGATTCGCGATGCTCTTCGAGCCCTTGTGGATGAGATCCTTTGTGATCGGAACTCCGCTGAGCGTCATGCTGAAGAACCATATCAATGTGTGGACGCTCTTGATGCTTTGGAGCGCGTTGTGCGCCGGCTACCTCGCCTTGAGGACTACCACGCTCTCTCGGAGCGACTCCTACCCGTGAAGCAGGCGAATGCATCGCTGCAGGCAACGATGGGGCGCTTGGCTCCGTTGGAGATGAAGATTGTTGCACTCCGTGCTCAGAACCAGTTGCTGGTTCAGTTTCTGGGTGGCCGAGGGCCCGTGACATCCGCTCTGGCGCCAACGCTTCCGCGTTCACTTGCGCCAGATCCCGATACGGCTTGAGCAAACCCACGTATAACACCGGGTGGGTGCGCATCCGTTTGGAAATGTTTAGCGTATACGCTAGGCTCCGCTTGGCCACAAACTTAAACGGTCCAATAAACCGTGGACGGAGCTTCGTTCGGAAATAGCACAGTCTGCATGTGTAGGCAGGTTGTTAGAGTTTATCAAAACCAGGTCTCCGACCTTAAAGCTTTCCACTTTGCCTTTTCTTTTTTCATCTGTATTGCACGTTCACGATGCGATGGCTGAAAGCCAAGTCTTGGCTTTCAGCCATCGCATCGTGAACGTGTCGTAGGACACTCAGTCTGGTAGACAAGAAGTCATCGACTTTTTTGCGGATGGTGAGGGGGCTAGCCGTTCGGCTATTCCTTTCCCACCAAGCCCTGAGCCATGGGATAGCGGCGTCAGTGGGACGCGAGGGTAAACCAGCCCGTTCACGTAGAACGGCGTGTAGGCGGTAGACGAATGCACTGCATTGTTCAGCGCAAACTCTACGAGTGGCAACATGGTGCTCCAGCGCCTCGGCGTCTCAGCGCCGACGCGACGAAGAACGTCTTCGATGACACGATTCACCCTTTCGGTTTGGCCATTGGTCTGCGGATGATCCGCTGTCGACATTTTCAACTTGGTGCCTAGCACCGTGAAGATAGTCAACCAAAATTTAACCGTGAAACGGGGGTCTACTCTGGGAGTCCGTGTTGTCAACTCTGGGAGTCCGTGTTGTCAGAAAACACGATCCACGAACAGCGATGCTGTACCGACCTCGTCGATAATGTCTGGCGCCGCCGCCGAATGAGTCATCTTGCTCAACCGGTCGACGAATATCACGACACCCATGTTGCCCGCCGAATCTTCTGGCAGGCCAAACACAAAGTTTAAACTCATGGACTCCCAGCACCCAGTGGGTAACGGTAAGCTGACTAGCGGCGCAGCCGCATTTGGAGGGGGTTTTACCCGTCGACACGTCTCACACGTGCGCACATAGGTGCTCGTCCATTTGAATAGCTTGGACCACCAATAGTGGTGACTCACAGAGTTGTACGTTTTCTCACGACCGAGAT